CTAGGCATATGACACAAGTAATAAGAAAAACAAATTTTATCTAAAAATTGTTTGTATCTGTAAATCTCATACAAAATACAAGGAAAGAAACCCATGGACCTGATTGACTGAATGTAAATACACAACATTAGAAAAAGCACATGAGACTCTGCTATAGTAAGAACCATGGGAAGAATCATTGGCTGCATAACCAAATTCCTAACTTCAGCACAAAGAGGCGAGAAACCTGGTTTAATTAGGTGTTGCAAGGCAAATCACTTGAACTATTGACTTTCTTTTCTATTAAGTAACAGAAGACGGGAAAGAAGCCAGAAAGTGACTACCGCAATACACGGGAATCAAAATCCTTCCACATATCGGATAATGCTTTTAAGAATTCAGACTTCTGCATGTTGTCTCTTTCCTGCAGTAAATTAAAAAATGCCCAATTATAGATATTTCCGACTATCTAAGTGATATCTGCCTGAAATGATGATGGGAAGTGTATACACACATACAAGCATATGATCAAGGAAACGGAGGGCACGTAATCTAGTGTCGCTTCGGAAAAAATTAGATCCTGCAGGTGAAGGTTGTAGTCCAAGATGTAAGTGCACAAGCAATGAGTAGAGTAAGGCTTGTCACAAGAAACGATGAAACCCCACGAAGATTCCGTATTCCTTCGTGTGAAATCTAATGATGTTGGTCCAAAGGACTCGTTCATTGATAGCAAATCAGATACCAAGTCCAAAGGTATAGATGAGAAAGTTTCATTTGTTAAATAGTTCAATGTGTTCATGTACTGCAAGATAACCATCATCAGCAATGGAAAGGACAGGTAATATACTACTTTCTACAGGATAATATGAGACTACATCTAAAACAGAAACTAACGAGTTTTGTATTTAGCATTACCATCTTGGCATTGTTCTGGCAATCAAATAATGGTTTCCGTGCAACTAAATGATAGGCAAGACACCCGAAACTAAAAATGTCCGAAGAAACTCCAGCGGAAGAAGTTTTTCTCCGCACCAATTCAGGTGCAATATAATTTAAAGATGGTTGGAGTGGCAAGATTGAGCCCTCAACTTCATATTCCTGCACATACCCATCCATCATAACACAGTCATCATGTTATGCACAGAGGACATTCACCTAGATGCCATAGTTAAATCGAAAAGTTGTACATCTATCTAGTAATTGATCACCAGTTTAAAGTACACACAGAGTAGTGGAATGATTGCACGTTATCCAAATTCCCAGCCTGTGCTTCTGAAATAGCAAAGCCAAATCCAGCAAGCTTCCAGGAACCAGCCAAAGTAACAAGAACCTTCTGCAATAAAGTTTTAGATCCAACAGGTTGAGAAAGCACGACAGATGAACAAAGTATGAGTATTAAACATTAAAAAGCAACCTCCGGAGGAAAACTGTGTAAACTAATCTTCCATTTTCTGAGTCATAAATTGCTCAAATTTTCACTTGAGCTTCACAGATTACTGGAACCAGTTAACACTATATTAGAAACGCACCATGGCCTTGAGATCTTTCGGTACATTATTGACATTTTCTACATTCCCAAGCGCATTAGCCACAGAGTAGAAGAGCGGTTCAGTAACCATAGCCATGGCATTTTTGTTCTCGCCAAGGGCTTGAACCACGTGAACAACACCGGGATGTCTCAGCCGCACCAGCTTCCCTCCATCAGCTCGAATCAGATCGAGAAACGAGTCTTCAGCCGCTTCGGATAACCCAGCCCTGGCATGAGCCTCTGACAAGGCGTGCTTATCAAGCACCCAGACGCAGATGTGCTTGATAAGTAGACATGCATTATATGCTTGTTGAAAAAGTAGGCATGCATTGATTGCTTTTGTTACAAGATATGTCGTAAGCGGGGGACTAACCTTGTAACAGACAATGGTATCATCAGGGTACATCGCAAAGAGCTTAGTTCCTAGGCGGGCATAGCAGGAATCACAGAGGCTCTCATCATTTCTCTGCACGTGTCGTGATCTTTCTTCTAATCTTGCCAACCTTGAGTCTACACCTAATGCACGAGAGATATTGTGTACAATCCGTAACAATTGACTTAAGAGCATTCAGACACTCAAGCTATACCCACGCCACATACAGATTGTAGAAACTTATAAGTTTATCAGTGTTATTGTTACCCATTGCACATTTTACTCCTCCTCCACCGTTTTCCTTCCCAAAAGATCGAAATGATATTCATAACAGTAGCTGGTACATAATACATGGGATTGTAGGGATTGTGTATTTTTACTTGCCCTTGACGATGATGATGAACCCTAGCCCTCATCATTCTCAAAATTGTATCTGATGCCAGCTTTAAGGGCATATCAGGAGACAGTTTCTGCAAATAAAACATTATATTAGCTATAGCATCAAACAAATAGCAAATGAAATAGCTGTAGGATAATAAGTAACACCAGCATCTTTTTAACATATGAAGGTCTGGGATTTCTTACTTGCAAATGATCAAGTGATTCCCCGTGGTTGTTGAGAGACGAACAGCAGCCTTGAACATAACATCTTGAGGATCCAGGTACATATCAAGTAACCTAAGATAAACTTTGTGTTAAAGGGATTTGACAATGAAAAATGAAAACTACGTGATGGCTTTCACAAATGAAGGAAAAGAACTTACTGCATAAAAGCATCTGGTCTTCCAATCTCTACATAATATTGCTCTGCAGCTGCACAATCTTCAAGCTTCCTGGCCCCCACCACAGAAGATCTTGTTAATAACATTCAAATTCAACATAAAACTTTGTTCTCTATCACTTCATATCACTATTATTGTGAACTTACAGAGCAAGAATTTGGAGGACCAACGTCTCCTGCCCTATTCTTCGGTATAGGATGGCCTATAAAAAGAAATTTACATTTATGTCAAATGGGTAAAACGACACAAGATCAGTTGTTTTGACTGTAGATAATTTTAA